TGCCCATGTAATTGTAACCCCTCTGTACAGTATGTTCACAAAAAAATAAAATAAAATGAAAAAAAATCTTCCCACATAATTCAAATAAGCAGTAAAACTGGGAATATAGCTGTACTCTCATCTTTGAGCCAGGAGACTATATGAATGTCAAATTACTTAAAAAATTATCAACTTAAATATCTGGGCTCATTTTTTCCATAATTTTATCTTCCCCTATATTGTTCACTGTATATTTCATCAGATTTTTGAAGTCACTTACTTATTTTTATATATTTTTTCTCATTTTATTGTAAAGGTGATGCACAAAGGGGTTACATTTCTTTTTGAATAGTGTTACCCCCTCCCCCTTATTTTCTCCCATTCCTTACCAACTCGCCTCTTAACTCCCTTTCTGAATAGACTGCATCTCTGGTAAAGAGTATGTGCAGTTAGCCGGGCGCTGGTGGCTCACGCTTGTAATCCTAGCTACTCAGGAGGCTGAGATCTGAGGATCACCATTCAAAGCCATCCCAGGCAGGAAAGGCCATGAGACTCTTATCTCCAATAAATCACTCAGTAAACCGGAAGTGGTGATGTGGCTCAAGTGGTAGAGTGCTAGCCTTGAGCTGAAGAGCTGAGGGACAGAGCCCAGGCCCAGAGTTCAAGCCTCACAACCAACAACAACAAAAAAAACAAAGAAAAGAGTATGTGCAGCTAACAAGACCTGTTTTTCCAAAGAAAATATAATTTTACATTGTAAACATGTGTGGAAAGGTAACAGTGGAATTCTCCTTCTATGTAAGCTAATTAAAGAGAAAAAAAAACATTCTTCAATAAATATTCCAAGCTGGGCACCAGGGGCTCACACCTGTAATCCTAGCTATTCAGGAGGTTGAGATCTGAGGATCGTGGTCCAAAGCCAGCAGGAGCAGTAAAGTCCATGAGACTCTTATCTCTAATAAACTACTCAGAAAAGGCCAGAAGTGGAACTGTGGCTCAAGTGGTAGAGTGTTAGCCTTGAATACAAAGAGGCTCAGGGATGGTGGCCAGGCCCTGAATTCAAGCCCCAGAACTGACCAAAAAAAAAAAAAAATTCCAGTAAGCAAATGAAAAGGATAAGGTATGGATTGGGGCATAGATGAAATGGTAAAGCATCTGCCTAGCAACTATTAGACCACGAGAACATCACCACCACAGCCTGAACAAGTTAATGGATTGAGGCAGGCAAACTGGCTCTTAGCCAAGAGTAAAAGATGGGTGCTGAGTATCCCAAGAAAAAGCTAGAACAAAGAGCAGGGGCTATAGAAAGCAAGTCAGGAGAAACTGATGTGTGAATGAGGCCAGGGAAGACAGGTGGCTCCTCTCATGCTCAGGATCTCACCATATGGGTGACACTGATGGTGACAAGGCAGTTTTCACACTCCAGTTCTGGAGGACCTACTGGACACCAGGCTGTCCAGCAGTAGTAGGGTGATGTCTGTGGGTGCCAAGCAGGTATAGAGGCAACCACTGGGTCTCCCTGGGGGGATGGGGATGAGACCACATGCGGATCAGGAGAGAACCCCTAGTGAAGCACCTTGATGCTTGGTAAACACAAGTCTCCCAACAGAGATAGCTGAACCACTCTAACAAGCAGCTCCCATCTTGTTTCAGACCTATCTGGGCTGTTGAGGAATGCTGGGACGAGCTTCCCTTGCACTCCCGCATGCCACCACCACTGCTAAGTAGCACAGATAGAACGACAGTTAGGCCTGGGTCTAGCTCTCTTGTCTGACCAGCACCACTGAAATCACCTGAAAATGTAACCTCATTAGGTCCCAAGGCCAAAGCCTTCTCTCCACTTGGCTTGAGGATTCCTGGTCTTTCCAGTCCCTTGGGAAGGGCTTGCAAGATCTTTCCAGAATACAACCTCCCCACCCCCTAGGAAGCAGGGACTAGCCAGCCACAAGTTGTCTGGGTCAGGGGCTTGTACCATGTGGCTGGCTCTCTTCTTTCCTTATCTCAGTTCGGCAAAGGTCAGTCTCTGAAAAGAGAGAAAGAACAAGGGAAACATGTCTTCTCTTTTTTGTGACCTGGGATATACAATGGATTTCCTTCTCTTTCTTGTCTATGTATGTGGCAGTGAGGATCAGACCTTGCAAAGACATTCCCAGCTAACTTCTAGCTTCACAAACTAGCTTGCCTCAATCATCTCTTTACAAATGCTTCACTAGATCACAGCTGGGCATCCCTTAACATGTGGAAAGGTGATAGCATTCACTTCTCATTTGTTCAACTGCATCTCATTTTTGGGCTCAGAACTGAACCTGGATCACATAATGTGATCCACCACACTATGCCCCTTGGTCCCTGGCATCTCTGAATGGAGATTACAAATACACTTTTTCACAGGAAATGACACCACTTCCACACTGACATTTCATTGGATCTGTTCAGGTAGCTTCCTGACACAATCCTCCAGGCTGTCCTTGGTTCTTGGGGCATCAATGCTGATCTGAGAGGCAGGCATGCAGGGAGAAAGGTGGGCCAGCCTTGAGGACAGGGGAGCTTCAACAAGATACTTGTTGACTCAATGAACCCACATTGAAATTAGTTTACAAAGCTCAGCATGGTGGCATGTACCTGTAATTCAAGTTCATAAACCTCTAATTCAAGCTTTTGGGAAGGCCTCCTCCTGAGGAGGAGCAAGGAGCAAGGCCACTCTCAACAAAGTGAGCCTAAGACCCTATCTGAAAAACAAACTAAAAGGCAAAAGAACTGAGGTTGTGGCTCAAGGGGCACAACACTTGTTTAGCATGTATCATGACATGAATTCTATCTGAAGTACTGTAAAAACAGACACCCTAGAGACCAACACTAGAGAGAGAAAACATGACAATGAAGGCAGTGCCTACCCCAGGACTGGGAGAGGGCTCTCTGCCCTGGGTCTGATGTGATGACAGCAGCAGGAGAAATGGGAGTGATGGCAAGAAGAAATGTCCGTGCAGATGGCACACTTATGCACAAGCATGAGGAAATCAGGCTGGAAAACCACAGGTTGTGGAAGGCTTTCCTATCTGTTCTTTTCTAATTTCCTATGAAATCTTCAGTCATCACATAATATTGCTTTTACTGGAGTTTTTCCTCCAAAGCATACTTTTTCTTTTTCTGTCCAGTGTGAGGCTTTGAACTCTGGGCCTGGGCACTGTCCCTCAGCTCTTTAGCTCAAGGCTAGTGCTCTACCACATGAGCCACAGTGCCACTTCCGATTTTCTGAGTGGTTTATTGGAGATAAGAGTCTCATGGACTTTCCTGCCCAGGCTGGCTTTGAACCGTGATCCTCAGATCTCAGCCTCCTGTGTAGCTAGGATTGGCATGAGCCACTGGCGCCCAGCCAGAACATACTTTCTAATATGCTTGCTCATTAATATTTACTTAAAAGCCCAGGTAACTCCTACCTCCAGGCTTGTAAAAGATTTCACGCAGCTTAACACAGCCAGATACATTTACCAGATAATCAAGCATAAGTCAATACACATTTCCGGGAAGAGGATAACCAGAAACAAGCCATATAGTATTCAGGTACAAAATAAAACCCTGAACTATGCTAAAACCTGAAGCACAAGCACAGCTGTGCAACGCTGAAGAAGGGTTGTGATGCAACTCAATGCACAGCAGATGTGGTTCCAAGTTAGTTAACTGTGCAAAGCTGTCAAGAGTGGCCTCAATTAGCTAATCTCAGCAGAACCTCAACCAGACACAGGCCTGGCTGGCAAGTCTCAAAGAGTCAGACTGTTGACTTCAACCAATTAAGACAATAATATCAAATAACATGGAAAACTTAGAAATTACTTCATACTCTAAGATTTCAACCAAAAGTTAAGATATACTATTGGCATTATGATAGATAGCAGAGAAAAGAAACCAAGTATCACGACCAGACAGCGGTAGTGAAGCCATGTTGATCACATCTACTTATAACCTCATTCAGATCTGGCTCCTTACAAACCTGGAGTTTATACTCACCTAAACCTTTTTGTCCAGGATTCTTAGCAAAGGTAAAGGTAAACTGATAAAAATCTTTGAACTTTGCTGAGTCCTTAAGCTCTTGTTCCAATCTGGGCAGAAGAGCTCTCAGCTTTTCTGTGCTATCACACCTGAGACAACAGAGAAGGGCTTGTTACTAGCAGGACTGACTCTCAAGCAACCCTTCTCCTGCATCCCATTCCCTGGCTTCCCTTCGGTGTGGCCGAGTCAATCCTAAGGGATGGGGGAAGGTATGAGTGGCATCACAGTGGGCACCTTCTTGTTAAGATGGATTGTGAATGCACTGAAGCCACTGAACCACGACTATATGAGAGCAAGTTATGTGAATTGTATCTCAGTAATGCTGTCATGAAAAACCAGTCTGGGAATGGTGATACACGCCTACATCAAAGCATTCAGTACCACAGCTCAGAAGCCTGTCTGGGCTACATAGCAAGTTCCAGGCAACCTGAACTATGTGACTCTGTCTCAAGGGAAAAAAACAATCCCAACATTTGTCTTTTCCTGTGTGGTTGGATGTGGATGTGGTCTGTTCTGCAGCTTTGATCACAGTGAAGCCAAGACCCTGAGGATGGCACAGCAACAAAATGGGAGCAAAGACAGCATGTCCTCAGCGCCCAGACAAAGCTGTTGCTGCTCGGCCCTGCCACACGGGAAGCCTTACTACTTTGGCGCTTTTTTTTTTTTTTGTCAGTCGTGGGGCTTGAACTCTGGACTTGGGCGCTGTCTCTGCGCTCTTCAGCTCAAGGCAAGCACTCTACTGCTTGAGCCACAGCGCCACTTCCGGTTTTCTAGTGGTTTATGGAGATAAGAGTCTCATGGACTTTCCTGCTCAGGCTGACTTTGAACCGCGATCCTCAGATCTCAGCCTTCTGAGTAGCTAGAATTACAGGCATGAGCCACCATCACTCAAGCTACTTCAGCGCTTTGAGGACCTCTTTGTTGTGGCAAGTTGGATTTGTTTTTATTTATTTAGTAGGTCATGGGGTTTGAACTCTGGGCCTGGGCACTGTCCCTCAGCTCTTCAGCTCAAGGCTAGCACTCTACCACTTGAGCCACAGCAACACTTCCGGCTTTTTCTGTTTACATGGTGCTGAGGAATTGAGCCCAGGGCCTCATGCATGCCAGGCAAGCACTCTACCACTGAGCCACCTTTCTAGCATCACCCCCCCCTTTGTTTTTTGCAAGCTGGATTTAAAATATTCAAGTGTTATGAAATCAGTACTGATTTCCTTTCAAAAGAAAAAAAAACCTTTAAAATAATCAGCCTGAGCTAAGGGTATGACTAAGTATGGTAGCAGAACACTTGCTTTGCACGTGGAAGGCCCTGGGTTCCACCCCCAGCTCTGAAAAAACAAACAACAAAAACCCCCAACAGCTCAGCAAAAGCATGTATTGATCTTCAAGGTAAAATGTTTAAAAACAATTAAGCAAAATCTCTTCAACTGCCCAAGACCAGAACTGCTACACTTAACCTAGTATAGCAGAGCTAAGGAAAAAACAAAAATGAACTGGAGACCCCTCAACAGTCAGAAAAGTCCATGAATACATGAGAAGAGGACATTCAGTGTAACAGACTCCTGAAGGTGATCTTTTTTTTTTTGTCAGTCATAGGGCTTGAACTCTGGGCCTGGGCAATGTTCCTATGTTCTTTAGCTTAAGACTAGCACTCTACCACTTGAGCCACAGTCTACTTCCAGTTTTCTGTTGGTTTATTGGAGATAAGAATCTCACAGATGAGGCTGGGAAGTTGGCTCAGTGGTAGAGCGCTTGCCTTGCATGCCTGAGGCCCTGGGTTCGATTCCTCAGCACCACGTAAGCAAAAGGAAAAAAGCCAGAAGTGGTGCTGTGGCTCAAGTGGCCCAGGCCCAGAGTTCAGGCCCCACGACCGGACCCCCCCCCCAAAAAAGAATCTCACAGACTTTCCTGCCCAGGATGGCTTTGAACCATGTCCTCAGATCTCAGCCTCCTGAGTAGCTAGGATTATAGGGGTGAGCCACTGGTACCCAGCCTGAAGGTGATCTTAAGTACCAGCACTAACCATGTCAAGGATGGTGCCAGGACACTGGGCCCAAGGGCCAGAAGCTGAGAGCTTCCCCATTGCAGCTCCTCCCCCTCTCAGTGAGATACTGCTCACTCTCCTGCTCTTGTCTACTTCCAATAGCCTTCAGAGCACTCTCCTTCACAGTGCCCTTGGAAACTTGACATATTGTTTGGTTTGGCTGTTTGGACGTAGTGTCTACAAGACTCATTCCAGTAGACGTGCAGCTCCAGCTGGTTCATTTCTGAGCCATGTAAATTCCAGTAATTTGTAGATGAATGTAACATATAGGTGAATGCTTCGGCTGTTTCCAGTTTTCTCATCACAAGTAATAGTGTTTCTATACTCATAGGCACATATCCCAGACCTGTCACTGTGTGTGCACCTTCAATTTAATATTGTGAGAACCTGTGGTGCCCACCCCCACTATGTTGCTGTGTCTTCTTTACCCAACCTACAGGGTGGATTTGCTGGGTGTTCTGTCACTGCAGACTTCAGCTTCCTGATAAGTGAGACAGACACTGTATATTTTCACCAGCTCTTTGGATATCCTTTCATGAAGTGCTTCCTCAAGTCATTTTCCCAAGAGGTTTCCTTTTGTTTTGTAGGAATGCTTTAGAGATACAAGCTTTGTCTGTTTTATTTTTACTAGGGATTACACTCAGAGCCTCAAACTTGCTAGGAAGGGAGGGCACCACTGAAATTACTCCACCAGCCCATATGTCAGCTATTTTTTGAGACAGGTTTTTGCTTTATGCCTGAGTCACTTAGTTTTGTAATTCTACCTGTGCTATTCCATGTGGGCCCGATGAGAGACATACTTTTGCTTCCCATTTAGTTGAGATGGCAGGCATGTATTACCATGCTGAGATTGGTCATGATGGAGTCATGCGAAATTTTCTTTGCCCAGGCTGGGACTCAAATTGTAGGATTCCAATCTCCACCTCCAAGCAGCTAGGATTACAGGCCCACACTTGGCTTTTGTCAGCTATTTTTAAGATAGTCATCCAAAACGCAAACTGCCTACTTTCCTTAGTGGTATTTTGTATGACCAGATTTGTGTGTGTGGCACTGGAGTTGAACTTAGGGCCTCATGATTGGTAGGCAGGTGCTCTACCACTTGAGTCACATTTCTCATCATTTTCTGCTTGTTAGTTTTAGGATAGTATCTTACTTCTTGCCTACTTGAGGTTCATATTGTTGCTAGAGTAATGAACATGTACCATGTGTCCAGCTACCCTCCATGAAGATAGGAGTCTTGGTCTTTTCTGCCCAGCTTGGCATCAACCTTGACCCTCACAATCTTGGGACTCCAGACTCCCACATTAGTTATGCAGCCAGTGTGCAGTACCATCCACAATACAGAGCTGTGGGCTGAGAAGGGGTTTTGCAAATTTCTGCCTTCTAAGTAGCCTACACTGTGTGAGTCAAAGGCAAAGAAATTCTTTTTAGTATAAACAATCTACTTTTATTACTTTTTAGTAATATGTTTATTTAATTCTATCTTTTGCCTTTACAATTGAAATCTATAATCCACTTCAAACTGATTTTTATATATAGTGTGAGGTAGGGATCACAATACTTTTCTTCCATATAGCTAACCAGTTCTCCTAGGACTATTTACTGAAGACATGTCAGGTCTTCTTTCCTATATCCCAATGAGCTGCTTTCTCTATGAAAATATCATACATCTTTTATTTATTCTAAGTATTTCTTTCTTTTTTTTTTGTCAGTTGTGGGGTTTGAACTCTGGGCTTGGACACTGTCCCTCAGCTCTTCAGCTCAAGATGAGTGCTCTACCGCTTGAGCCATAGCACCACTTCCAGTTTTCTGGTAGTTTATTGGAGATAAAGAGTCTCATGGACTTTCCTGCCCGGGTTGGCTTTGAATCGTGATCCTCAGATCTCAGCCTCCTGAGTAGCTAGGATTATAGGCGTGAGCCACCGGCGCCCAGCTGTATTTCATATTTTTGATAAAACAAAAAATAACATTAAAAAATTCAGTTTTGTTGCATTGTTTTATTTGGTAACACTCATCCTTAGTTGTACCTTGTTTTGTTCCTTCATCTCAAAAGCAAAGTACCTTACGGTTCCAATATGCATGAGGTATATATATATTTTTTGGTCAAACTAAGGACTTTTACTGCATCTAGTTTGCTAAAGTTTGCATTCTGTATCTTGTACTCATCTTTAAAGCCTTTGAAGTCGTGTGTGTGTGTGTGTGTGTTTGGTCAAACTAAGGACTTTTACTGCATCTAGTTTGCTAAAGTTTGCATTCTGTATCTTGTACTCATCTTTAAAACCTTTGAAGTCGTGTGTGTGTGTGTGTGCCCACTAGCAATATTCCAGTTCTCTTTTTCTCCTTTAGGCATTTCTACTGTATGCATTTAGGCTGATTTCTATGGTTCTCTTGTTTTTGTTTTTTCCCAGTCCTGGGGCTTGAACTCTGGGCCTGGGCACTATCCCTGAACTTTTTGTTCAAGGCTAGGGCTCCATCACTTGTGTGACAGCTCCACTTCTGGCTTTTTTGGGTAGTTAATTAAAGGTAAGAGACTCAGACTCCTGCCCAGGCTGGCTTTGAATTGAAATCCTCACATGTCAGCCTCCTGAATAGCTAGGATTACAGGCATAAGGCACCAGTGCCCAGCTTGAATTCAAAGTTCTGTTATCACTTTTTTTCCCCCAACATTCAAAGTGCTTTCTAATTTCTACTGTAATGTTTTCAAATACTTTTTATACATAGACGTACACTATCTACACATATTTTAACCTAGTTATCTTTATATTATTTTCAGAAAATGGGCTTAACACTTCAATGCTTCGCAATTTGTCACAACTAATAGCCCTGTTTACAGTTAACTTTATGAATGTTGTTTCTTCACAAATACTATGCACTGACATCATAAGCAATGTCAAGATATGCCAGGCCCTTCCCTGTGCAGTCCAAATCTACTTTGTTATCTAAAGAACTATTATCTCCCTTCAAGCTCATTTTCTTCTTCTTCTTCTTTTTTTTTTTTTTTGCCAGTCCTGGGACTTGAAATTGAGGCCGAGGCACTGTCTCTGAGCTACTTTTGCTCAAGGCTAGCACGCTACCACTTGAGCCACAATGCCACTTCAGCTTTTCTGTGTATGTGGTGCTGAGGAATAGAACCCAGGGTGGGCTTCATGCATGCTAGGCAAGCACCCTACCACTAAGCCACATTCCCAGCCCTTAAAGCTCATTTTCATTAGTAGTACTAAAGAAGCTTTTTGGGATTAAGGTTTGCATATTTATATAACTTTTGTCATGGTAGCTATTTTAATTTAAAATTTTAAAACATTTTTAAAATTGTTTACATTTAATGCAGCTCCTGAACACCTGTGGGTTTATTTAAATCTTCCAGTTGTGTCCTGTCTTGCCCTCTGTCCTGCTCAAGCTAAGTTCTCTGTAATTCTTTTTATGGCCAGTCTTAGGGCTTGAACTCTGGGCCTGGCCCTGAGCTCTTTTTTCTAACTGCGAGGCTCTATCACTTGAGCCACAGATCTCCTTCTGGATTTTTCTGAGTTGTTTATTGGAATTAAGTCTCATAGACTTTTCAGGACAGGCTGGCTTCAAACCAAGATCCTCAAATCCGTCTCCTGAGTAGGCATGAGCCACTAGCAGTTTCTGGAATTCTGGATTGAGATTCTAAAAGTATTTCATTGTTCTCTGTATTTTTCAGAAATTATATGTTCTTTTTAAAAAAAACCTAATAATGTAAACTTTGTACCCTTGTTTTTCCTTATTCTGTTCAGTCCTGGCTTGAACTCTGGGTCTGGGCTCTGTCCCTAAGCTTCTGTGCTCAAGGCTAGAGCTCAACCACCACTTGAGCCACAACTACACTTCTGGCTTTTCTTGTAGTTTAATCAAGAGTCTCATAAAGGGCTGGGAAGTTGGCTCAGTGGTAGAGCGCTTGACTTGCATGCCTGAGGCCCTGGGTTCGATTCCTCAGTACCACATAAGCAAAAAGGAAAAAGCCGGAAGTGGTACTGGGCTCAAGTGGTAGAGCGCTAACCTTGAGCTGAAGAGCTGAGGGACAGCGCCCAGGCCTAGAGTTCAGGCCCCACAACCAGACCCCCCCCCCCAAAAAAAAAAAGTCTCATAGACTTTCTTGCCCTGACTGGCTTTGAATCACAATTCTGAGATCTTAAGCCTCTTGAATAGCTAGAATTACAAATATGAGCCACAAGTGCCCAGCTTCCTTTATATTACTTTTTATGTAAAAAAAAAATTGTTGCAGCACTGAGCTTGAACTGAGGAGCTCATGCTTTCTATATGTCACTTGAACACACTTTCAGCCTTCGTTTTGTGAAACGGCATTTTTATTTTTTTTGGTCTTTTTACCTTTGGTAGCAGGGATCGAACCTAGTATGTTGCATTCACAATCCAAGCATTTTGCCACTTAACTATATCCAGCTCTAGTTTTGTAGTTCATGCCTTTTGTGTTTTTTTCAACTTTTTTTTTAAATTTCATGTTATGAGTGTTTCCTACCTTGAAGTAAGGTATGGTTTCACAGTTCATCTCAGTTTCCCAAAGTGCAAAGAATAAATATACTGCTGTCACCAATTTCAAATGATGTCTTTTTCTTGGTTGGTTTTATACAATTGCCAGGAATGTAGGTAAGTATTAGAAACAAATGAGGTCTTTTAGAGTTTACTGTCTAAATAGAAAAGGCTGATAAATGATAATGGAATCACTAGTATAGTGAAAGAAATAAGCCCCTATTTATCTCCCTTATTTGCTGCAAGTGCTAGCTTTAGGAACATTCATATGCTATTTTGAGATACTATCATTGAAGTATCAGAGAAACATAAATATCAACAATTCAAACATGCTGCACCACCTCATAAAATAGTTCCATAAGCTTAAAGATTAAAAGTCAGTTACGTTAGGTGTTTTCATTTACTTCTGTGACTCATCTGGTAAGAATTATCTTAAATTATTAATCCCAACCCTGCAGGTAGAATAGAAAAGCAAAAAACCAAATGATACTTTATTAATGTTTAATATAACAACATTGTAAATTATACACATAATATACAATGGTAATGAAATAAATTGAGTGGTAAAAAAGAAACTATTTACTGTTACTCAAAATTGGAAGGGAATAAAAAGGAATAAGTTATAAAAGGAACTACTATGAAAAAAACCAGCAAATAAAACCTAAATTCAAATTTGAAATGAAACCAAAGACATACTACTGTAGACATACAAAATAAAGACAATATAGATATGAAACTAGTACTGAGAGATTGCTACAAAACCATTAATGTTGAAAATATCTTCTCTGGTTTAAGCTGAGATTAAATTACTTACCCAAGTTCTGTCATGCCATCTACAAATTCCTTTTTGCTAAATTCACATTGAGTAGCAGCCCTGAACTTCCATGCTATGACCAAAACACTGATACTGGCAGGATCAAGATTTAAATCATCACAAAACTGTTGGATTCCATCAATTCCAATTTTGTTTTCATCTTGTGGGTCTGTAATTAAAATCAAGAAAAAAAGAAGTTATAATAGTTTGAAAATCAGTCCTAAAACAGAAGTGTACCACTCATATTATTTATTTCTAGCAACAATGAAAGGCAGTTTTCCTAGTACACATGAAAGAAATACAGAGCAACAATTACAATTTGTCTAGAAAAGTCCTATCTTTTAAGAATATAGGTTTCTGAGTTGTGTGCGTGCATGTGGTTTGTGTGTTTGCTCTAGTCCTGAGACTTGAAGTCAGGACCTGAGCTTTTCTGCTCAAGGCTGGTGCTCTACCAATTGAGCCACAGCTTCACTTCTGGCTTTTGGTGGTTAATTGGAGATATTCTCATGGACTTTTCTGCTCAACTGGCTTTGAACTGCAATGGCTATAATTACAGGCAAGAGTCACAGGTGCCTGGCTGGTTTCTGGGTTTTAAGCCAAAGGGGGGGAAAAAAACACTGAAAAATATTTTAGGAAACTTAATTAAGTAGCTGGGAGTACAGGTGAATAGTATACTTCCTCAGGCATCCTGCTTTCTAAGCCTTTTTACTCACAGTTGGCCCTTTGACACTTGATCCATACTTCCGATTATTTAAAAAAAATCTAGCTCGTGTATTCATTTAACAGTCTAGAAAGTCAGATTTCTCATCATCATTTTTAGTTTAGAGATAAAGGAACCCTAGTATCTGTCAGCTATTAATATAAAGGGTGACATTAATCAAGATGCATTTGTACTCATAAACTGACACACTGAATTGAAACCCTTTTTTTGTATAATAAAATACTTACACCAGAAAAAGGAGTCAACATTAAACAGTAAGGTGTTTTAAAAGCATCCCTGCAAGACCTCACCAATTAGCCATATAATTTCAGACAATTACATACATTGCAATACATCATTATGCAAATGTGAAATCTGTTGGTTCAGAGATGTAAATAAAATGCTCCTTTGCTTAGTATAGATGAGGTACGATCATCCTTTCGTTTCTTCCCTTCATGTCAAATTCAACTCTTGTCACCTTAATACACTAAACTACATTTTTTTTTTTTTGGTACTAATACCAGGACTTGAACTCTGGGGGTTGGATGCTGTCCCTGAGCTTTTTGTGCTCACTGCTAGTGCTCTACCACGTAAGCCACAGATCCACTTATAGCTTTTTGGTGGTTAATTGGAAATAGAACTCTCACAGACTTTCCTGCTCATGTGGGTTTTGAACCATGATTCTCAGATTTGATTTCAGCTAGGACTATAGGTGTGAGCCACCAGTGCCTAGCAAACTACATTAATTTTTTTTTGGTTGGTCGTGGGGCTTGAACTCTGGGCCTGGGCGCTGTCCCTCAGCTCTTCAGCTCAAGGCGAGCGCTCTACCACTTGAGCTACAGCGCCACTTCCG